CGGTCCGTGTGCTCGGTGGGGGGCGGGGGAGTGGCCCCACCAGCAGTGTTAAGCTTCTCAGCAGGGAATTGTGCACCTGTCAGGTGCCAGGAATTTTTTACTTGGTTTTACTCAACTTTTCAAATCCACAGTTCAAGGAACAGGTGCAAACAAGCCTAACTCTTGCCTGAGCCTCAAGTAGCCCTTGGCATCTCCTGTTGGTGCCTCAGCCTGAGGTTCTGCTTGGCCCTGGGCCAAGCCACCGCCTCTCGAGGCCCGGGAGGCCCCACACCCAAACATCTGCCATGCAGGAGGTTGGGTGACCGGTTATTTTGGTGCATTTCTGGGTTTTCCAGATTGTCAGCGGTAGCAGGGGAGAAGATTCTCAGCTTGTGAAGGTTGGTGTCCAAGACTAGATTTGGTTTCTCCTTCCACAGGATAATCGGCTGAATGTAACAGAGGAACTAACGTCTAATAACAAGACGAGAATTTTTAACGTCCAGTCCAGGCTCACAGATGCCAAACACATTAACTGGAGAGCGGTGCTGAGCAACAGCTGCCTCTACATCGAGATACCAGGCGGCGCTCTGCCCGAGGGGAGCAAGGACAGGTGAGGGTGGGGAGCGGCCAGCCCTGGGCCTGTGTGTGGTGCGTCTTGAAGGTGTACTCGGGAGGAGGGGCGCCTCCGTCAGGAGCCAGGAGCCAGGCCCCACGTTATTTGGGGGAAAGGCTTCCCTTTGTGAGCGGTGGACCCTAGTTACCACCCAAGGGTTTCCAGGGGACGTCCGGGAACATGCGTCTGTCACACTGAGGGGGGTGCTCATGGCTCTCGTTAGGAGGCCCCCTGGGGTGCAGGTGGGTGGGTCCTGACACCCGCCCTTCAGCTTCGCAGTTCTTCTTGAGTTTGCTGAGGAGCAGCTCCGCGCTGACCACGTCTTCATTTGCTTCCACAAGAACCGTGACGACCGAGGTGGGTGACGGCCATCCTTGGCCTCTGCAGGGGAGAGGGACTCACATCCCTGGGGCCCCACCACACCCGACTGGGCACCCAACCCCACTGGACTCGGGTGCACCAGGGGAGGCGGAGCTCTGGGCCCTGAGGGTAGAGCGGCGGTTCTGACCTGACGGCATCTTCTTTGCAGCCGCCTTGCTCCGTACCTTCAGCTTTTTGGGCTTTGAGATTGTGAGACCGGGGCATCCCCTTGTCCCCAAGAGACCCGACGCTTGCTTCATGGCCTACACGTTTGAGAGAGAGTCCTCGGGTGAGGAGGAGTAGTGGCCGCCCCCGTGTCCCTGGGGCCTCGATCGCAGTCCTTTGTGTTGCGCTTCGTGCTGAGCCTTGTGCGGGTGGTGTGATGAGCTGTGCGCTGAGCAGTGTCAGCCTGTTCCCCTGCTGGGTTTGTCCGCATGTTGTAATTGTGCAAATAAACGCTCACTCCAGATTAGCCGTGTATTTCTTGAAGTTTAATATTGTGTTTGTGATACTGGAGTATTTGCTTTAATTCTAAATAAAAATTTATATTTTACTTTTTTATTGCTGGTTAAAGATGATTCAGATTATCCTTGTACTTTGAGGAAGAGTTTCTTATTTGAAGTCTTTTGGAAACAGTCTTAGGTCTCTTAACTTTGGAAAGATAGGTATTAATCTACCCTTCTATTGCTCTCAAAAATCCGAATAAAAGTGATTACCACTCCAAGACCTGTGTTGGCTCAGTGTTGACGCGGCTGCTGTCACCCCTGCCCAGGGTTGGAGGGCAGGTCGGGGATGCCTCGGGGCAAGGAAGGGAGGCCTCCAATGGCCTGGAGTTGGGGCGGGTTGTGCAAGTGTCCTGAACTGAGTGACTGCTTCTACAGAGGGGGAAGTGGGGACGGGGTGGGGAAACCAAGGGCCTGGTCAGCTCTGGCCATCTGGCTTTAGAATCGTGTGGGCAGCTTGGCCCTGGGGCTCCACTCAGGCTGCCTTCTTACCTCACCTTCCCACCAACTCCCGGGCAGAGAGGCAGCTCTGGGTGGCAGCCGGTTCCGCCTCTCATGTTGAGCCTGCTGCTCCCTTTTACCCAGTGCCCTTCCCTGGGGAGGCCCCAGTGGGAAGCTGGCCAGTTCCTGCTCCCTTCAATGGCCTCCTTCCAGCCTGAAGATGTTTACTGGGCCCTGGGACAGGGCAGGGACTGGCTGGGACTTTCCAGCGAGGAGGTGGTGTCTGTGGCTGTGGGCGCCCTGCCTTTAGGCCTTGTACGATGTCGTGCTGGGGCAGGGCACTGCTAGCAGGTGTCCGGGCTAGACCAGAGGTGAGGAACACTGGTTTCTGCACTGGGGGCGCTTAGGTGAGGAGGGGTGAAGGTGGGAGAACCACAGGGCTGCAGCGCCGCCTGCTGGCTGCATCTGGGGGCGTCGCGGGAGATTGTCAAATTGGCGGCAAAGGGTCTCTTACAGAAGAGAAAAGGGCTTAGGGGAATACTACCTGAGTGATGGAGTCGGTGTTCAAAGGTCTGGGGAGACAGCTGGACACACCCAGTCTATGTGGGCAGGGCAAGGGCAGAGTACCGGCACCAGATTGTGCAGGGGAATGGATAGGAGTCTGGAACAGAGGGGCGGGCGTTTTCAGCAGAAGGCACCTCAGGATGGGCAGTGTGGCTGGAGTGGCTGGCCAGAGGGTGTGCAGCGCCTGCAGAGGAGCCCCACTGGATTCTGGAGGTACCAAGGAGCCACGGGAGATGTCTGAGCAGGAGAGAGACCTGGTCACATCTGGGGGTTAGAAAGTTTCTCCCAGGATCACCATGGCGGGGTTGGGAGCAAGTAAAGAGGCAGGACTGGAGACCCTGGCAAGGGCAGTGGGATCCCTCAGGGCTCCTGTGTCCATTTTCCAGAGGTGTCAACTGAGACCTCATTGTTTCCCTCAGGTTCCTGATGAGTCTTGTGTACTCGTTTGTTTATTCCATCGTTGCATGCTCCGAATTAAACACCTACTGTGTATCAAGCTTGGCCTCTGCCCTTGGGGAACTCACAGGCTGGTGGATGAGGTGAGCGTGTGACAGGTAAAGAGGTGAATAAATACTTCAGGTGGTGACAAGTGCTCTGAGGGGACACAAGGTGAGGAGCTACAGAGGACCCAGGAGGGGCGACTTAACTTGCTTATAACAGGTGAGATCTGGGCAGTCTGGCAGAGGAAACGGCCCAGGCGAAGACTTGGTGGCTGGACAGTTTAGTGTCAGAGTCACATCGAGGAGGCTACAGTGGGTGGAGGTAGTTGGGGTGGGGCACGGGAACGATAGGAACATTAGCGCAGGTGAGCTCAAGATGCCACTGGGTGGGCTGTGCTGAGGGGTGCTGGCTGTCTCCAGTTCCAGGGAGCCGCCTCCTCCTGGAGGCCCCAAGCAGTTCTTGAGAAGGACATTCACACTTGCCATCCTCAGCACAAGGGGTGCTCCGGGGCCAGGAATGCCTCCCATGCTGGCTTTGGGAGGAGTCCACACGCTCCAGGAGACGGTGACCATCAGACCCCAGTACCAGAAGGGCATCCTGGCTCCTGCTGGAAGGCATGGAGGCAGTTCCACACGCAGAAGGACATTAACTGGCGGGGGTTCCACACCTGGAAGGGGCAGGCAGCTGTGGCATCAGAAAGCCTCGGGCAGCACTGGCCATCAGTCCAGCCCTGGGGAGGAGGCACCTGCATTTTTGGGGAGGGCTTGGGCCTACGTTCCCGCTGCTGGCGCCTCCTGGAAGGGTGCACGCACCCTGTAGTGGAGACACTGGCC